GTCCTCTTTTGGAAGGCCAAACAAAGTAGTTTCGCTTTCACAACGAAACACACAGCGTCTTCACGACATGGCGACGGCAGCAACAATACTACAGCGAGAATCAAAGTTATACCTTCTTTCTTTGAGTGAACATTTGGGCGGCGTTATGCAAATCTTCCCACACAGTGACGTAGACATGTGGGGGCTTGTTTAAACGAGGCATTTTAGGAGGGCGTGGACCAGTCTTAACTTTTATAAAGAATATCTCTTTTGGTTTGAGACTTTAGTCTTTGCAACTTTAGGGATCTTATCTATTCACGAACAGCTTGTAACTCTCCAAAGAGAAAGGAAAACTTGAAATCGCATCATATGACCCCTGTAAATTCTGAATGGGTTATAGTCAAGAAAGCGCGCAAAGAGCGTTCCCCCTTATAATCATTAAAAAGCTGTCACTCAACTCAGTTTTTCACAATCTCATAAAGTTCCGTTATATTCAGTGAAGCAATACACTACTGCACAACTAAATCTCTTATTTACATCGTGTTTATATTTAGTTTGTTCTAATGAGAGAATTCGCAAGCGTGCACAACTCAGAAACACTGAACAAAACTGCTGCTTAATGAGCAGTGAGTGGATTCTAACTTCAACACCTCTGATTGGCCATTACATTCATGAAATTAACAGACATGTCTGTGATTGGCTACAATGCTCAACGCTGCAGAAACCTGTGTTTAATAAAAAAAATACCTGTTTATTAAAACATTTTAACTATACAAGTTGTGCACAGAGGTAGGCCTGCAATGTATTTTTATGTCTGACGAAAAAACATGCGGTTCTTCAGAGCGCATACAATTATTTTATTATTTTTATTTATATTATATTATTCTGTTTTTCTTTGTTCTCAGAAGCGCTGCAGGTACGTGATAATTTGACTATGTGTGAATTCAGGTTCTGTTGTTGCTCTGTTGTTCTGTATCCTGCTGTTTGCACATGTTACAGTAAACCTGTGAAATATATATATATTTTTGTATTTTTAATGGGTCACAGACACTCGTCCATTCTATTATTTATTTAAAACTAATTTAATATTCTAGTCTTATCAGTTAATGGTTAGGCTAATGTTCGGATAACGAGCGGTGGTTGTCGGTCGGGAAAATTAACTGAAATGAGCATCCCTAATAAAAAATTCAAAGAAAAGCATAATTAGAAATAAATTTAAAATAGGATCTTTTGTAACAATATTAATGTCTTTACTGTCACTTTTGATCAATAAGGAGTCCTATATAATTATAGTATTTATTATTTTATTTTATTTAATTAAATTTTAATTTTTAAGGTTCAATTTGTCATCTGATATTTATATTTTATTTTACTTCAGCTTTTTCAATTAACATTTCTTAATAGTTTCTGTTTTATTTAACAATAACAATAATTATTTAAACAATAACTAGACTGCTCTGAGTTCCCTGTACTGTAAATGTTTTCTTTAAAGAAATCATTCGCCAAAAATTTCATTTTGTTATTATTTTCACACCCTGGTGCTGTTCCAAACCTGTATGATTTTTTTTGTTCTCCATGAAACACAAAAGGTCATTTTTACATACACCTAAGTAGCAGACTTACAGTATGTGGCGTTCCTAAATTGACCAATCATAAATTAGCTTTGCTTATTTGAACATGTCTGTTTACATAGACAATTTATCCCTTTGTGATTTTTTGTAACGGTCATGTGTTGTCACAGGATTTGACATCTGCCCTGACCCGGAAGATAACCCTGAAGACGCCACTCATTTCATCTCCGATGGACACAGTCACAGAGTCCTCCATGGCCATCGCTATGGCTGTAAGTAACACTCACAGAAACATTATATATCAGCACTTGTACTAAATCGTAACTGCTTTTCCATTTCACCCACTGGTTTGTCCCATAGCTCATGGGTGGAATTGGAATTATTCATCACAACTGCACACCTGAGTTCCAGGCCAATGAGGTCCGGAAAGTCAAGGTCAGTCATATGATAGATGAATAAAACAAAAACAAAAACAAAAATAAAATATAAAAAAAACAAATATAAAACTTGTAAATCAGCATATTTTAATGATTTCTGAAGGATCATGTGACACTGAAGACTAATGATGCTGAAAATTCAGCTTTGCATCACAGGAATAAATTACATTTGATACTATTTCATGTTAAAATAGGAAATAGTTATTTTCAATTGTAATAATATTTCACAATATTACTGTTTTTACTGCAGTTTTGATCAAATAAATACAACCATGGTGAGCATATGGGGCTTTCAAAAACATTTGGGGAAGTCGTGGCCTAATGGTTAGAGAGTCGGACTCGTAACCCAAAGGTTGCGGGTTCGAGTCTCGTACCGGCAGGGATTGTAGGTGTGGGGAGTGCATGTACAGTGCTCTCTCCCAGACCACGACTAAGGTGCCCTTGAGCAAGGCACTGAACCCCCAACTGCTCCCCGGGCGCAGCAGCAAAAAATGGCTGCCCACTGCTCCGGGTGTGTGTTCACGGTGTGTGTGTGTTCACTGCTGTGTGTGTGCACTTTGGATGGGATAAATGCAGAGCACTAATTCCGAGTATGGGTCACCATACTTGGCCACATGTCACTTCACTTCACTTCATTTTGGCCCCAAACATTTAAACAGTAGTGTATAAGAAAATCTACATTTATTTTGAATATTGTAGAATTTAAAATAACATTAATCACTGATGAATCATTCACAATAAAACCAGTTACATTTATTAAGAAAATAAATTATTCTGAGTTTGTTTTGTCTTTAAACACTCATAATAGTCCTGAATACTACTAATATGCATGAATGATAGTTTCTGAAATATCTCAAATCCTCCAGGCAATGACAAAACGAGAAGATTTAGTGGTTGCTCCAGCAGGTGTAACATTAAAAGAGGCGAATGACATCTTACAGCGCAGTAAAAAAGGTAGGAGCATCAACTTCAGTCTTGTTTATGTTGTGATGTTTAGCACAAGCTTGCTGATCACATTCCTGTTTTTCTCTCTCAGGTAAACTGCCTATAGTGAATGACAGCGATGAGCTTGTAGCTATAATAGCTCGTACCGATTTGAAGAAGAACAGAGACTATCCTCTAGCCTCCAAAGACTCTCGTAAACAGCTGCTGTGTGGCGCTGCCATCGGCACCCGGGAGGACGACAAGTACCGGCTAGACCTGCTCATGCAGGCCGGAGTGGACGTGATAGTTCTGGTGGGTCCTAAGAGGAATAGGGTGACATTTAAATTTTAATGATACTCAGCCCTCTTTCTGGAGATCAAGATTTTTGCATCGCTTTTGCTGCTTTCATAATTTGTTATGCCGTGATGCAAAGGATAGATGTAAACAGTTAATGAGAAACATTCACTTTTAAAAGAACGGCTCACCCAAAACTTAAAATATGTTGAAAATTTGTTTGTTTCTTCATCGGAACAGATTTGGAGAAATTTTGCATTACATCACTTGCTCACCAATGGATCCTCTGCAGTGAATGGGTGCCGTCAGAATGAGAGTCCCAAACAGCTTTTTGACTTTTTCACTGGAGAAAGCAATATTATTAATAGAGAACTAGCATTCCTTTGAGTCCCGGAAGCTATGGTTTGAAGTTAAAAACGTCTTTAATGATTAATTTGTATCTTACAAACATGCAGCTTTTCACTTCACAAGACATTAATTGATGGACTGGAGTCATGTGGATTATTGTGATATTTTTATCAGCTGTTTGGACTCTTATTCTGACGGCACCCATTCACTGCAGAGGATCCATTGGTGAGCAAGTGATGTAATGCTAAATATCTCCAAATCTGTTCTGATGAGGAAACAAACTCATCTACATCTTGGATGGCCTGAGGGTGAGTGCATTTCTAGCAAAACTTCATTTTTGGGTGAGCCATTCCTTTAAGCAAAAAATGCATCCAAAAGAAATCCTTTAGCAACAAACCTGTTTAGCAAGCAGAGACAAATGTGTCAAACATGGTAAATGACCATAATCATACACCTGCAGAGCACATGCAATGGAGACTTTGTTTACAGTCAAACACCTGCAAAGCTAAAAATAGCGTTTCCATTTTATTTCTTTGTTCCATGTGTCGGGTAGTCGGGAACGCAGAATTAGCATGTTTTCATGCTTGAGATTTTCAGTGGTAAACTGTATTGGGCCAAAGGTAGTTTGAATTACACAAACATGAAAATAAAAGTGAACCTGGGGTGCTTTGCGCTCACAATGTATGTTATGAGTAAACCATATTCTGACCAGTGTTCATTTCGTCAATGAAGACGACGACGAAAAATATTCGTTAACAAACATTTTTTCTGTGACTAAGACGAGACGTTGAAGAGCTAAAACTAATATCTGATGATGATAAAAACTATGACGAAATATAAGTTATCAGTGCTCAAATACACACACAGCAGTCTAAATGTCTATCATGTACAGTATCTCATGTAAATACAGTCGGTTATGGATTAAGTGAACGTAAACAGGTGGATGAAAACTGAACGTGTGTCAGTATGAGTTTAATTTGTATCTCTTTTGTATTTGTCTTGTTGTCTTATTCTGCTTCTTTTTCAAAAATTATAAATTATATATATTATATGAACAACTATAATTTTTATAAGTTGCTCCCTTTTCACTTACTGTTAAAGGGATAGTTCACCCAAAAATGAAAATTGTCAAAATTTATTCAAGTTTTTCCAAATTCAATCCTTGATTCAAAATTGGCAGTCGTCCGCGAGGGGCTGCCGCTTTACTTTAATTTTGTGTTTGTGTATTTTATTAAAGTTTTCTTTAAATGTTCGCCGGTTCGAAGGAGGCGGGAACCGGCGAACGTTCAAAAAAAACTTTAATAATAAAATAAACACAAAATAGCGCGACAGTCGTCCGCGAGGGGCTGAACACGAACACAACCAGAACACAAAATAAAATTCAGGCCTGGTCCTCTCTCGTCCAACACTGTCGTCACTCCTCCTTTTATCCTTTCGGAGCTCCTCCGTGGGACTCGAGACCGGTGAGTGGTGCAGGTGTCGTGCATTAGCATTTACTCCACCGGCCTCGCTCCGTTCCCACGGCTCTCGGCCCCGCCCCTCTCGTCACAACTACATATAAAATAGCTACCAAAATAAATGTTGGTAACTGCAGTTTGACTAAAAGTAATGACTAAAACTAGACTAAAACAAGGAAAGACTCAAATGACTAAAATGTGACTAAGACTATTAAGCATTTTCGTCTTAAGATAAAGACTAAGACTAAATCAAAATTTACACTGGTTCTGACTAATTCTCAGATTGAGATTTAGTTTGCTATATGATGGCCAGGTTTGGAGAGTTTGTTAGTAAGCCAAAATGTTTGTGAACTGCTCAGAGACCTATAACGAAGCAAGTGTAAAACACTCTTAAAGTGTGAACCAGAAAATCAAGATGTTTGATTTTACTTGGAAAATATTGGCAGGTATTTGAGGGAAGGGTTGCAATTAAATTCTGAAGGCTGGTATGCAAAATAATCCTGCAAAAAATTATTGTATGACCAACATTATATGATGTCAGGCTCTAGGGCGTGACCAAGGATGCATTTATTTGATCAAAAATACAGTAAAAACAGTAAAACTATGAAGTAATATTGCAATTTAAAATATCCATTTTCTATTTTATTATATTTTAAAATACAATTTATTCCTGTGATGCAAAGCTGAATTTTCATCATTCTCCATTCTCTGTTATTCTAATATGCTGATTTGCTGGTCAATAAATATTTCTTATTATTGTCAATGCTGAGAAAAGTTTGTGCTGCTAAATATTTTACCGTGATGGATTAAAAAACATTTTTTTGGTGGGATTCTTTGATAAATAGAAAGTTCAAAAGAAGAGCATTTACAATGTTTTGTAACATAATAAATGTCTGGACTCTCTGTTGATCAACTGAATGCAGTCTTGCTGAATAAAAGTATCAATTTCTTTAAAAAAAAAAAAAAAAATCTCACTGACTCCATAACTTTTGAAAGGTAGTGTACCATCTAATCTGCTTATACAGCTTTGGAGTTTGTATACTTTGTACTGAGTCAAGTGATGTTTAGAATCTGATGTTTAGAATCTGGGTCGGTCAAATAAATGTATAGGTTGTTTTATTGACTATATTGACTACTTTGAACAAAGAATGATGTCATTGCTTGCAAACGACAGTTTAAAAAGACAGAATTGATTTATGTTCTTACCAAAGAACTTGATTAGCTGGTTCAGGTGTGTTTGATTTAAGATGTGACAGTATCTTTACTTTCACTAGGAAATGAATTAGAGGGTGGATTAGGGCAGGGTAGAAACTAAATTCTACTGCAGAATAGAACTGCATCAACCATTCATTCCTTGTGTTCAAATAATATCGCATAAAGTTCTGACAAAAGAAGTCTTTGAACATTTTCAAAGAGTTGGTCTCAGACTGCAAAATTGGGGCCAAAATCACAGTATACACACAATGTTGATCCTTTTAGCTCTTAAACCTACATATGTGATGGTTTTTCTGTGTAGCAACGTCATATGACCCCTTTAATTATGAATACTGTTTGTTTCGGCTTTGTGCACGGGATAATTTTTTTACATTTTGATATTTTTTCAGTCATGAACATTTTCTCCATAGTGTCATTTCCAGAACATCTCAAATGATGATAACAGCATCCTCTGGTGGAAATGAGGGATGGAAATAAACTGTTAACCTTTGTCTTGCTAAGACGAATTTAATTGCTAGCAGTTTAATTATCCTAAATACAAACAATTACTTAGAATTTTCCTTATTTTCTTCACACATTACATGTCATATTTCATCTCATGTATGCTCTTCACTGACAATGTTGTTTCCTTGGTAACTTATTAAAAAACGGTTTATGATGGAAATGATACCAAAACTGATGTGTGTGATCTTTGAAAAATTAATGTACAAATTTTTACGCAATAAATATTAAAATAGTTTATAATAGTTTTGACAGTCATCCTGTAGTTTACAGTGGAAATTCATATTTTAAATTATAAATATTATAAATTGTAAGCTAAATATTATGACTATAATATATATATATATATATATAACTAAATATTATAGTTGAGCTTTCAGTATATAGTAACAATTCGTATTTCATATTTTTATAAGCCAAGGTCCGAAACAATTAAATACATACATAAATGGCATTTTGAAAGTGAAAATAAATAATAAAAGCATGACATTATTATAACCTTCATATAACAGTATATTATAACCTTCATATAAAAGTTTTTAAAAAGTTTAGCGACGTAAAAATTTAAAGTAAAAGTCATATGATGCTTGTAGTTGAAGAAACACCCCAATAAGATATATATGATCTGTTATATTTAACTTTTTTGTATTGTATGCAGGACATAATGGGTTGTGTGTATATGTTTGTGTTTTCCAGTGAAGGTGATAAAGCGAAGGTGGCTCAGGGAGTCTCTGGCTCAGTTCAGGACAAAGGCTCAATACACAAATTTGTTCCATACCTCATCGCTGGAATTCAACATGGCTGTCAGGATATCGGTGCAAAGAGCTTGTCCATTCTGCGGTAAGTGTGTCATTTTCCCTTATAGACATCTGGAAAGCTTGACAAAAGACCTCATGAAATCAAAATTGCAGTTTTGTTTCTTTTAATTCATGTTTATTAGCTTTAAGCCCATCTCTATGCTAGTATATGCTGTATTCTAGTCCCTTTAGGAATACACTAGCAGCCGTTTAACTAAAGTCTTTTTAACTAAAACTTTTATCAGATATACACTACTGGTTAAAAGTTTGGGTTTTTCAACAAGGCTGTATTTATTTGATAAAAGTACAGTAATATTGTGAAATATTATTACAGTTTAAAATTGTTCTGAAATAGAATGTTTTCTATTTAATATATTTAAAAATGTAATTTATTCCGCAACATTGACAGTAATAAGAGCCATTGTTAATAATTGAGCACCAATAAAATTGAGCTTTGCCATCACAGGAATAAACTACATTTCAAAATATATAGAAACATAATGATTTATTAATGAATTTTTTTTTTGTTTTAATAATTTTTGTATAATTCAATTTATAGAATTTAATTTGATAATATTACTTTATAATATTAATATTAATTTATATAATTCATAGTTTAATTTGATAATATTTCACAATATTAATGTTTTTACTCTTGGTGAGTGTAAGAGACTTCTTTCAAAAACATTAAAGTCTTTTTTTTATTATTCAAAAAATGTAATTGGAATAATAATTAAATTCCAATTAGTTATCCAAAATTTTGGCCAGTAGTTTTTTCTTCTGGAAAAAATTAACTAAAAATATTATACGTATTTTTCACTAAACAATCTTTTGTACAGTAATTCTCTTTAGAAAAGAGTATCCTCTTTTATTTAAATTATAAATATCACCAACAATCGACTAGCAGCAGTAGCTAGTAGTGAATCATGGTTCACTGTCTTCAGTTGTACTAATGCTTCTACATTATTTTGTTTCAAACATCAGAAATAAATGGAATTTATTCATTCTCAATGTGTCTTCATTGCTTCCATCCATGGAATAAGCTGTCAAGTCTGCATTTATCAAGCTGTAATGTAAACCAAAGGCTATTGACTATATAAAATATTAAAACTTCCTAAAAGAAAACATAAACACGAAAAAGAATGTAGTCTGTTTTTACCTACATCTGTGTAAGTCTCACCTGCGTTACATATAGATCGATGATGTACTCTGGAGAGCTGAAGTTTGAGAAGAGGACCATGTCTGCTCAGGTTGAGGGTGGAGTTCATGGACTGCATTCGTAAGTATCCGCCCACTCAATTAGCCCCACCCACCTGACCTACCATGTGTGTGTTTCTTTCCTCACACCACATACCCTAAAAAAAAAAAGCTGTGAACACATTTCACGTCATTTAGAATTCTTGTGGTTCACATAAAAATAAAAGTTTAGCAATCCCCTCTCTGTTTTTTTTTTTTTTTGAAGTTCCTCTCAGAGACCCTCAGTCCATCCCTTCGTACATTGTCATGGAAAAGTAGAGTTTACATGTGAAACTGTCTTCTCTTCCTTTCTCTTATGCTGTCATCATAGATATTCTTTTGTGCCATGTAAGTATAATAGCGTCTCTTATAATAGTGTTAAGTTTTGGTGGAGGGAATTGTGTTGTAAACAGTGGTACGATCTGGGCTCTTTAGTGGGCATTGAGACTATTTTAGTTTCCTCTTACTGTCGTATCATGTAGACAAACCTAGTGTCCACTATCCCAGTGTCCTGCTGTGGTTGTGTACTCGTAACGCTCTCAGAGACTTGTCTTTGACAGGGAGATTATCTTGAAAGAAACCCACTCCCACTTTTAAAAGGATAGTTTACCCAAAAATGACAATTTTTCCACCTGAAAATTTCAGAGCCTTTTTTATTTCCATACTTCGCATGCAAATGGTGACTAGAGGCTGTCAACCTCCAAAAGGGACAGAAAAAGACCATGAAAGTACATGAATGTTCAAAAGTTGGGCTCAGTAGGATTTTTTTATTTATTTTAAGAAGTCTCTTATGCTCACTTATGTGAAATGATATGAAATATTATTACAATTTAAAAGAACAGCTTTCTATTTAAATATTTTTTAAAAATGTAATTTATTCCTGTGAAGCAAAATTGAATTTTCAGCAGCCATTACTCACATGATCCTTCAGAAATCATTATAATACGCTGATTTGCTGTTTAAGGAAAATTTCTTATTATTAATGCTAAAAAAAAGGGTTGTGCTGCTTAATATTTTTATGAAAACTTTGATACATTTTTTCAGGATTCTTTGATGATTAGAAAGTTCAAAAGAACAGCATTTATCTGAAATAGAATTATATAGAATTTTATAGAATTATCTTTCATATAAATAAAATATCTCACTGACCCCAAACTTTTGAATGGTAGTGCATCATAAAAATAATCCATATGACTTGTGCACTATATTTCATATGATATCTTTGTGTAAAGAACAGAATGGAATTTAAGTCGTTATTCAAATATGACACTAGATTTGACATCTTATGATGAGGCCATTATTTCTCATGCGTGTCATAACCAATGACAATAAGCAAGTTCAATATTTGGAAGCAAAAATTATATTTAAGACTGAATAATGTCTTAAATTTTAGTCTGTTCCTTGCTGAAAGGCACTTTTATGATACTTCCATGCTGCTTTTTTATATTCATTTTTGGGCGAACTGTTCCTCTAATGGAGTGATTTCATTGAGTTGATTTTTTTAATTTGGACTAATCAATGTGTGGATTTATTAAGGTTGTGTTGCTTTTCTGTTCTCGACAGTTACGAGAAGCGGTTATATTGAACAGGGCAGCAGGGGGCACACAAGAGCTGGACCCAATGTCCCGTCACCAGCCGTAACTAAACACAGCAGCTAAAAGTGATTTCTGCTATCCTCAACCCCTTGATCCTTTTTCATGGGGTGTATTTCAGAAAGCAAGGTTAACTTACCGTCACATATACCCTGAACTCTCGGTTGATTAACCCAAACAAATAAGTATATTCACGGTTAACACACAAGACTTTCTCAACAGAGCGACGAATCGACGAGTCACCATGGAAACCGACGCTATGAAAAAGCGCACCATAGTGCTGCTTCTTCATTTGATCAGTGGTCATTTACATATTTGATGGCCAATGCAATCATTTTTTTGTTTAATCTTTTAATCACTGAGAATAAGAATTAAATTGTTTGTGTAATGCTAATTATATAATAAGAAATATCACATATGTATTTTTATTATAGAAATACACATTAAATATAGATTAAACATTAAAAATGAAAAACAAAAAAAACCTGTCTTATTGTAATAAAAGCCAGCAACAGTACTGAATGTACTGTGGACTTTATTGTTTTGATTTTTTTTATTTTCTTTGGGCTTCCCTGTAAGAAATTAGACTAGGTACTAGAGAGATTATTTTCAAAATCTTATGAATGTACTGCATCATCTGAAATATGAGGATGCTACGTGTGTGTGTGTGTATATAAGAGAGAGTGTGTCTATGAACATTTCTGATATGTGGGGTATGTTTTTCCAGACTGTCTTGCTGGTTCATACTAATTCGCATTGTCTGTTATTTTAATAGCAATAATACTTTTTGTGACCATTGTGGTATATGAGGAAACACATTTGCCATTAGAGTGTTACCAGTTACATTTTAATGTAATCTAAAAAATGCATTTGTTTTTTTTCCCAATAGGGCAAGTTTGCAGACTGCTTGTGTCACAATGCTTTTCAGATTATCCAGAGAGAACTAGAATGATGTTATTGTATGGACCAGATTGAGTATCAGCCTTAAAGTCAGGTATTCAGTACTGCTATTCTCCTTACACTAGCCAATAATGTACACAGACATGCTCATTTCTTTTGTTTATTTAACAGTTTCACACACTTGCATCATTTAACTTAGAAGCATTTATGTATATATCAAACATTTTACAGGATAAAAAAGGTCAGAATTGAAGGACAGTCAAAAGCATTTGCTGTAAAAGTGACACTTTCAACTTGGGCACCATTTGGTAGTTTGCAAAGACTGTTGTGTTGTCATTCTGAATATAATACAGTTTATAGAATAAAGAAAGAGTTTTATAGACGGTGTTTCTTAATTTTTTCCTGTAGTATCAGTTTCTGTCTACTCTATACTTTGCTTAAATCTTTTAAATGTTAATGTACCTCTTTCTAAACACCGTAGCATAATGAGCAGTGCAATTCAGAGGTTTACATTGTCATGTAAAAGCATAGAAGTATTGGACCATTTACTAGTCACAGAGAGCAAATGCACATCTCAAACATTTGAAGAAAAAAAAAAGAGAAGCCAAGAGTGAGACAATCTTAAAGTTTTTGCGATGAGCTCCTGCTGCCAGTCACACAGACATCATGCACTAATAAAGATGACAGATGCACAAGCTGTCATGTTATTACATCTCCATGGCCAACAGAGGGCAGTTTTTGTGTAGCAGAATGGCTGTGAGGGATTATGGGTACATGATAAAATTGATTTTAATGAAGCACTAAATGTATTTAAAAAACAGTTAAACAGTTAAAAAAAAAGATGTACTTGATGTTCCATTCATACAACAGCTCATTAGCATGGTTTGCATGGTTATCTTCATGCAGCCTTTTGCTAAATACATCCTTTCCCATAAGTATATACACCTAGGTCTCATTCCAGAACAAACTGTTAAGTGACAGGGCTGCCACAGATAAGTGGGTTAACACCAATGATAGTGCTGAAATAAAATGCTAATTGGTTCTAGAGAATGTGTTTCTATACAGTTGTAATGTTGTCAATGAGTGTTTAGGTGATCTGTGCAGTAAGCAAAACCAAAATACATCTCATCATAAAACATGTTCATAAGTGCTAGCTTTATTGCTAAAAGGTACACAAGCCTCATGTACATTAGATTATTTTTTAAAGTATTTTGATCAAACCAAGCATGTTCAACAAGATTTGTCAAATATGAGAAGTGGATTTCAGAGAATTTCTCACCGTTGATAGAGAACATCAGTCACTTAAAGGCTGTAAGTTGCCGTTTTGTCCATGTCATGTCTGCTTCTAAAATAAAACATTTCTTTCCATTCAAGCAGAGTGCATCAACAGCAAATTCCTCTCCACATTTATATCAAGACAAGTTCTGTAAATTGGAGTTGTTAGGGTTGAAATTACTTAAAGGTGTTCGGTTAAATCAGGGGTGTCCACTCCTGCTTCTGGAGGGTCACCCGTCCAGCAGAGTTTAGGTCTAGCCTAAATTAAACACACCTGAAACAAGCAGGTATGTCTAAACTAAACTGCAGGAAGGTGGACCTCCAAGAGCACACCTCGACACCCCTGGGTTAAACTGGAAAATGTTAATTCTGCAAGGTAAGTACAGCACATCCTCTAAAGCACAATCTGTAGCATCTGCTAAGTGAATAAATGTAAATGTAGTTGAATAAAGATTTCTCCCCCTATAGGTCGATCGTATCACTACTGATACTGATTGCATCTATTTGCCTGCAGACGTTGATGAATTCAGCCTGAACGGCAAGCTCATCAACATGAGAAGTTGTCTCCACATCCACGCTCTCTCTGGTGGACGTAGAGCCCAAGGCCGTGTACCGTCTGTGGAGTTGCTGCCCGGACTGAGAGCCCCTATGTACGCTGCTCTGGGACTGTTGTGTTGAGTTTAATCCACTGCAATTGACCGAGACGTGAGCTGGTCTCCCAGATACAGTGCTCCATTGCCTAGGTCGGCTGGTGACTGTAGCGGGGTCCACATCCCCACAGGAGGCAGTGCGGTATAGGCTGGGTTCGGTGGAGTTTCCCCGACAGGGTTGTCCGTCCGGGGGTCCGCGTGTGCTGAGAGAGAGCCTGGAAGAGCCGAACAGACTATGCTGGAACAGAGCCTCACTGTTCAAGGCCTCGTCGATGCTTCGTCGCAGGTCGATTGGCGAAGGGGGCCGCAGATCTGCCGTGGAGTCGGCGTCGAAGCTTGCAAAGGATGACGCATGGGATACTTTGCTCTTCTTTGTGGTTTGGGAGAGCTGTGTGCAAGACTCGTGCTGAGGGCTGGTTGGATAGTGGAGGTCCAAACCGTCTGATTCGCTGTGCGGAAGTTCCACCAAGGTGTAGAGTGGCACGCTTTCGCTTTCCCGCCGTACTATTCCCTCACACAACCCCAGCTTCTCGGCGGGCCGTAGTGACCAGCCACACCGACTCGAGAGGATGGTGGGTTTGGCCAACGTGGCGCCTTCTGTGGGTCTCTTTTTGAAGAGCCAGCTGCAGCCTCCTGGTTTGGAAAGGGGCACTCCGCAACAGAGAAGGGGGTGAGTGATTACAAGAGCGAGTGTGAGACATACTCCTGTTTCACACACTCGGCAGCTGAGCTGAAAGCCCCACCAAGGCCAGGGCATCAGGCCAACCATGACTCCACCGGTCAGCCCTCCTGCATGGAGCATGGCGTAAAGTCGTAGACTGCCACATGCTAGCAGAAACAGGGCAGAGAATACCCCTGTCCTGGCTGCCCTTTCCCACATCCGTGCCTCTGTGAATGGACACCTGCTAGCATGGCATGATGGCCGCTCAGGAGAGCTATCGTTTAGCCGGTAAATGTGCTTGACATCGGCACGGGCACAGCAGTAAAGAAGCAGGTACGTGAATGACAAGAGAGAGGACATCAACACAAAGGCTGCTGGCGGTAATAGAGGCACAATTTTCAGGGTGGGAAAGAGTTGCAGTATTGCCATGGAAGCCATCACTATGGCTATGTGCAGCAGCACTAGGGCAGCCAACAGGCAGGTGCTGCGCTGCAGGGTATTCTGGGAAAGTAGCTGGGTACAAGAGCGAGCAGTTAGCAGTAGAAGCAGAAGGCCAAATGATGCAGTAATACAGGGATAGGCAGCTTCGTGCATCAGTCGTGCCCAGACTACGGGTAGGCGCTCTTTTTGGCCGTATGGATCATAGAGGAGCCACAGAGCTCTGCTGGAACCTGTTAGTAGTTGGAGAAGGTGGAGGAGGCTGAAGTGGGCACAGCCAGAGGGCCAGCGCAATGGCAGACACATCAGGCTGAGCACAGACAGCACAGCCACGAGCGAGAACACACAGCTGAGCCCGTATACCTGCAACTCCCATGCCAGGCCCCATGTTGCCATAGCAGCATTCCAGTCAGCCAGTAAAGGGACCAATAGAGGCGGGGTCTGGGCTTCAGGGGGTGAGGTTATTACACCAGGGGGTGTGGTTTCATACACAGGAGGTGGAGTGGACAGGGTGTTGTTAGTTGAAGCGTGATTCCATGAGGAGTCAGGCGACTGACAGATCCCAGTGCCAACCAGGCTGCAGTCATGAAGTGTGGAAGATTTGCGTCTGTCATCACCTGGAGATGCTGAAATGCAATATATAGCTTGGTTTAAGATGCATTTAGTTTTACATACACTCTCAGAAAAAGGCACAAAAGCTGTCACTGGGGCACGGTACACTTAGTACCTTAAAGGTACCTTAAAGGTACATATTAGTACCTACAAGGTATATATAAGTACATATAAAATATAACGTTAATTTAATTTCATAAATTAATTCACAAGTGGAAAATTTTTTGGATGTAAAGTCGGCAACACCAAAGCTCCAAAAGTATCAAAAAATTTATTTTTTTTAAAAACTGTCGCATAGCATATGTGACGTTTCGAGAACGCAGGCTCTTCATCAGACAAATGAACAACACTGATATCCCAATCTTTATAGGCCTACCTCCAGGTGATCAAAGGTCACATGACCGTACCATATTATCATGATAATAATAATACCAAAACAATAACATATCAACCAAGGAGAAAAACAGAGAAACCAAAATACGAAATAAAAATAAATCAAAAACATATAAAGCTATGTTGCCGACTTTACATCCAAAAAAATTTCCACTTGTTTCTTAGTCGAGCACCCAGTTGAGATTGATGTGCGTGCTTTTGCCTGCTCTTCACTATAAATTAATTCACACAAACATTAAACAAGGTTTTATAGATGAACAATGGAACACTTACTGTTGGAACGTCCTGTATTTTAAAATTAAAGTTTTTAACATTGATCATACCAGTGACAAGAAACCACAGCACAAACATTCTTTTTCGATTATTTATGTTATTATTTACTTATTTAATTAAGATTTTTGGCACAC